GGTAGAACAATCACTCAAAGTATATCTTTCAAGTATTTAGGTGTCTGGTTCGATTCCAAAAGCACATGGGGAAAACATATTGCGTATGTGAAACAAAAATGCCAACAAAGAATCAATTTTCTTCGTACAATTACTGGAACTTGGTGGGGAGCACACCCGGAAGATCTGATCAGGTTGTACCGAACAACCATCTTGTCGGTTCTAGAGTACGGTAGCTTCTGCTTTCAATCCGCGGCGAAAACACATATCCTGAAGCTGCAACGGGTTCAATACCGTTGCCTCCGAATCGCGCTTGGCTGTATGCACTCGACGCATACGATGAGCCTCGAAGTACTTGCGGGTGTTCTCCCACTGACAGATCGTTTCGCGGAACTGTCCTTCCGGTTTCTTATCCGTTGTGAAGTAATGAACCCATTGGTAATAGAAAATTTTGAGAAGCTGCTCGACAGAAATCCTCAAACAAGATTCATGAGTCTCTATTACGAGTACATGACGCTGGAGATTGGCCCTTCTTCATTCAATTCCTCTCGTGTTTGCCTCCAAGACTTTTATAGTTCCTCTGTAAATTTTGATCTGACCATGTTGCAAGAAATCCGTGGAATACCAGATCACCATCGGTCGATGGTTGTTCCCTTAATTTTTGCAAACAAGTACCACCATGTTAGTAACAATAAGAGTTTTTTCACAGATGGGTCAACTATAAACGCTTCCACTGGATTTGGAGTATTCAACGAATGTCATAGCGCCTCATATCAACTGCAAAAACCCTGTTCCGTATACGTTGCGGAACTAGCAGCCATATTTTACGCAGTAGAGCAAATTGCCTCACTACCATCTGATCACTATTTTATTTTTACTGATAGCCTTAGCTCGTTGGAGGCTATTCGATCAATGAGGCCGATGAAGCACTCCTCGTATTTCCTGACCGAAATCCGAGCTAAATTGAGTACTTTATCTAACTGCTCCTATACTATCACCTTAGTTTGGGTCCCATCTCATTGCTCAATTCCGGGCAATGAGAAAGCGGACTCGCTAGCTAAGGTGGGCGCTATGGAAGGCGATATTTTTGATCGACAAATCGCCTTTGCGGAATTTTTCTCAATTACCCGTCAGCACGTCCTCACCAACTGGCAACAAAAATGGAATGAGAGTGATCTGGGAAGATGGTTACATTCTATTCTCCCACAGGTATCGAACAAGCCATGGTTCAAAGGATTGGACATGAGCCGTGACTTTATACGTGTCATATCAAGGCTCATGTCCAATCACTACTCGTTAGACTCGCATTTCTTCCGAATCGGGCTCGCAGGCAGCAATTTGTGCGCTTGTGGTAGTGGCTATCACGATATCGACCACGTACTTTGGTCATGTACCCGCCATTGTGTTGCTAGATCCGAGTTATCCGCATCCCTCAGGGCCCGAGGAAAACAACCTATGCGGCCCGTTAGAGACATCTTGGCGAGCCGAGATCTCGACTATTGCAATTTAATATATGTGTTTTTAAAACGGATAGATCTGAGGATTTAGTAGTTAGTGTCATCTTGTGTTCCCCCAAGTTGTTAGCTGCCCATCGGTGTACCCCCATGTTTGTCTTTTTCATCAGTTGGTCGCTTAGTTCGAGATCAAGAGCACATTGCTCTCCAAACCTTGTGTTCTCAATCCCTACCCTGCCATCCATTTGTTACAATTTGTTACCCCTAACCTCGAGATAGCCGCGAGTAATCGGCCCCCGCTTTACTAACGTTAGTCTTAAGAAATTTTGTAACCTAAACAATGAATATCGGCTCCGCAAAGCTACGGCAAATGAGCCTGGAAAAATAAACACATTAAAAAAAAAAATTGCTTGCAATGGATAGATATCGAGTAAACTAGAAGATTAATAGCGAATTTGTTTTTGATTCAGTTCCAACCGGGTACGGGTATCAAGATTGGGTCTGCTTTTTTTTATCCTTGATTTGTTTTCCGTCGATCTTGTTTTCCGTACTTGAGTACCAATGCTACCAACGACAGGGAGGCAGCGCACACACTTTGACCCTACCTATCGATCCATCAACTCATGGAACCGGGGACCATCGGCTTTACTTCCCTTCCGAAGGAAGGCGTGTGATCAGAGATGTTATGCCTCAGAACATCCCGGCGGAGCCGACTGGGATTGAACCCAGGCCTGCTGGGGTGAGAGGTAATCACGCTTACCACCCCAGACAACCAGAATGCACGTATATTCAAAGTTGTTTTCGTGATATACAAACATATATACCAACAAACAAATCGTATAGAATGCAAAGAAATGGCTTATACGTACAAAAGTGGAGGCCATATACGTGAAAATTTTAATTTAATTGTAAACGAGTTGATTTAACATCATACACGATTTAATCTGTAATAACAAATTCACTTTTAAAAGTCTTACAATGTAATCCGATTTGATTTGTGATACAGTACGACGGAAAAATTAATCATCGCATAGAGGTCGGAAATTTGCATTCCATACGATTTAACTTAAACATAATGTGATGCATCTCATTCTTATATGCGATTTTTGACATAAACTGTAGCAATTTACGATACTGTCTGCACATTGTTATATGACTTCTGGTTGTCTGGGACTACACCACCAGTGCCGCTACAATTGGGTCTGCTTGTTGTTTATCAAACGTCAGTGTGAACGTTTGTTTTATTGTAACCTGGCTCGCGTTGAGGTTCGCCCTGACAATAAGCTCGGGCTCATACGAGTTGGAACTATAGTCGCTATATTCATATTCTGGCGGATAGAATTTCGATCTATCATAAAGCGGAATCAATTCAGAAAAAAATATTAGTTTTCGCGTATGGACAAGTGTAAATTAAGATCTATCACGTTTAAGGAAGTTTGTTTAGTGATATTGTAATTAATGTGAAAAATCTGGGAATGAAATTTGTTTCGAGTAGCTGTGTTGCTGTGGTGTCGCGTTGGTCGGTTTTTCTTTTCGCTTGCTTTTTGGTGCTTTACCTCCCTCCCAAGAAGAGTTTTACCGGTTTCTTTTTCTTTTCTTGGTGCTGGCGTTCTGCCTTCCGGAGGATGCACGCAAATGAGGTGTCAGGCAAAAATTCGGTGCAAATGAAAAACTTCGCGTGTGATTCAAAATGTCGTGTTCGGTTGTAAAAACAACGCGGAAGATTTTTTCGACTACCGCGAGTGAACAAACCGGTGCTTTTTCGGAGGCAGAATTTGGTGAGATCCTTCTGATTTATAATCAATCATAAATGCATATTTCCATATATTACTAAATACGCGCCAGATTTCGAAACATCACATTTCGAAATCTGGAAGTGTGTTTGCAGTACCATTATTCATATGATAACGGTAGTGTTTACATGCGGGGCTTATTGTATGTGAAAGTAACCTCGGAATGGACGTGAATTACCAGGCATTCTGAAATGGGTTGCTGAATCTGCAGTAGAGCTATCGCTTTCTAACTCCCGGACTAAACTTGCTTATTATTACATCAAGGATTGTAGTAAGCAAATTTCTTCCATAATACCACTGCCGGCCAGTGGGGGTAGATTGAACACACACACATCATAAAGCGGAATCAATTCAATATATTTTAGACCAACAATTGAAAAGGTACTATGAACTTTTATAAACAAAACGTTGATTATTCTTTCCTCGCCAATCGAACGCAAATCAAATTACCGGCATCATCGGATAGGGGAAACTTTCATCAACCCAAAGATGAAAGGGGTTGCCGAAGTTTTGTTCGCAATAGCTGATGTGCTCTTTTCTGTTGAATATAGCGACTATACGTCGTACGGGTTAGGCAAAGGGTGTGCGTTTGACTTGCACTGTCGCATTAATGGTCCTTTGCTCATTTTCATACTGCCGTGCTCTAACGGAACTATCTACCTACCCTCTTCTAAGACCATTATCTAGCTAATAAATTAGCACACTAAAGATTCATGTTAGATAGCATTTACGACCAACTCTGATGATATGCGTTTTTGAGCACTCAACGTGAGAAAATTCCTAGCGCACAACTCTTCGAAACTATCGGTGCTGCTGCAACTGCAAGCAATCAGTGAAGCATCGCAGCCGAAAGTATCAAACCGATGTCGTTAATGAATACCGAGAATAGCAGTGGTCCCAAATTGCTGCTTTAAGGAACGCCTGAGTTGTTTAAAAAATATTCCGATTGACCAGAGTTGATTTTCAGCTCTCGATTGGTAAGATACGATTCATACAAACGAGTGAGTCCTTGAGAGACACCAAGCTTCTCGAGTTAGGCAAATATAATGGCACGATCAACCCGGTTGAAAGCAGCCTTGAGATCCGTGTATACGACGTCCACCTGCGCTCTTGTTTTCATATTCCGTAGGCATAGGGAAATGAAAGGAGCGAGGTTTGTTGAGACCGAACGTTTGGGGTGGAAACCATGTTGGTCAGGAGAAATGCAGTTTCTACTGCTGGCAAATAAAACGTCGTTGATGATAATCTCGAACACTTTTGAACAGGTGCCGGCGCCGGTGGTGTAGTGGTAAGCGTGAATGTTTTCTGATTTTTGAGTATGTAGGATGGAATGCCGTCAGGCCCAACAGCGTTCGAGAATTTCAGCTTCTGGATGGTAGAGTCGACGAGGTCTAATGTGACCCTGAAAATATCAAAGCTGAACGCGTCTTTGGGAGTAGTAAAGAAGTACACCGCTAGCCTATCCGATTTCTTAAGCATTGATAGACGTGTGCGCAAATCACGGACTAAATGATATGAACACTCAAGGTTCTTATCTAGTCTCTAGTATAATACTTTTTTAATAAGTGTTTTGGGATTCTTAAGTTTATTTGCCTCATTGAGCATTTTAAAGAGGATGGGGGTGGTTCTGCAAAAGTTGTGACCGGCCATATATTAGGTATAGAAAAATACGTTAAAATTGCTCAACAATATGCTACATCATTTAAGTATGCTGCCTAAAGAAAATGCAATGCATTTTGTTTCGCATTAAAAAAAATCCTATCTACTCTTGCAGATTACACATCGGCAAAGGAGTGCAGCTAGATCTGCGCGGCGAGGGAGACGTTTGGTTACGGTGTCTCAGTGACCATTCGGTTTTTGTACAAAGCTACTATTTGGATCGAGAGGCTGGCCGCACGCCCGGCGATGCCGTTCATAAAATCTATCCCGCTGCATGTATAAAGGTATGTTATAGTGTGCTGTCCAACACTGTGCAAACAAAGGATTCATCTTTTATTTTTATGCAGGTATTCGATCTCCGCCAATGCCATCTCCAGATGCAATCGCTTGCTACTAGCGCCCAAAAAGCTGCCCAAATGCAAGCTGCAGCTGTGGCCGGTGTATCCGGGTTGGCTGTTGGTGCTCCCAGAAGTAAGTTACACACGTGACAATCGTTCACTCAGTAATCAGTGGTACGGAATTATTTACCTGTTGCCAATTATTCTAGATCTTTCCGCCGCTGCCGGAATCGGTGTCGATGATTTGCGAAGGCTCTGCATTCTGCGGTTATCGTTTGTTAAGGGGTGGGGTCCCGACTACCCTAGACAGTCAATCAAAGAGACACCCTGCTGGGTAGAGGTGCACTTACACAGAGCACTGCAGCTGCTGGACGAAGTGTTGCACCAAATGCCGATCGATGGTCCTCGAGGGGGTATAGAGTAAATATGTGCGTAGCTGCTTCAGTCAGTAGGATATTTATTTCATGCGTATCTGTTAATATGGTTTATGGTAGTGTGATACATACATGAATGATTAGTGATCACCAGAGTGTTATGAGAGTGCGCATTCAAATGCTTGTTAAAAACATGAGTTTAGCTATCCGTTCGAGACGGTAATGCAGAAAACCTATTCCTGTATAGCGACTTTCTTCTTTTTACCCTTCTGGTATTCAAAAATTAAAATATGAGTCATCTTCAGCTCATCGTCTATAACGGATAGTGAAAACAAGAGAAACGTGTGATTTGTTAGTGAATAACGTTTATGATAAGCAGAAAAACATGTATACTTAGCAGCTGAAATATGAATAAACTTATTTATACAGATACTGATCTACAAAATTCTACGCTAATTCTGAAAAGAAGATGAAACGTTTAAGCATCAAGTGATTTAAACATTTGCCGTATGGTAAATACAAATTTTGTCTCCTTATAAATAATGAAGATGATAAAAAACATTAACTGAATTAAGATACAAAAGCAACCGACAAATATTCTACCTCTGACAAGAAAATGAAAACAACAAAAAACACTCACTTTATATATACAGTCAGGAATCCTTATTGCCGGATTCCTTATTGCCGGTATCTCTTATTGCCGGATCCTTATTGCCGGGCTATCCGCGAATAAGGATACCCACAGCTTATGGGATTTTCACTAATGGGGGCTGTAGTGGATTATCTCATTTGTTTCAATACATAAAGCTATACTGTCTTCGACAAAGTTGCTGTACTGGGTTAGACCAACAAGCCTGTGCCATTGGATTCAGGTTAAATTGGGAACTACACCGCTAGAGGCGCTTCACTTTTATGTTACTTATGACGGGCGTTATAATATATGGATCATATTTCCAACATAGAATATTTCGTGATCCTGACCATATAGAAAGTTACTGTCTTCAGCAAAGTTGTTCAGGTGACCAAGTCCTTTCGGATAGTGGCCATATTAGTTCAGAACTCTCTCACTACGCAGCGCTAGTGTGCATGTGCAATTCCTATATAAACTGTATCTCGAGAGCCTGGCCATATAGAAAGTTGATGTTTTCAGCAAAGTTGTGCAGGTGATCAAGTCCTTTTGGATGGTGGCCATATTAGTTCAGAACTCTCTCACTACGCAGCGCTAGTGTGCATGTGCAATTCTTACATAAACTGTATCTCGAGAGCCTGGCCATATAGAAAGTTGCTGTTTTCAGCAAAGTTGTGCAGGTGTTCAAGTCCTTTTGGATGGTGGCCATATTAGTTCAGAACTCTCTCACTACGCAGCGCTAGTGTGCATGTGCAATTCTTATATAAACTGTATCTCGAGAGCCTGGCCATATAGAAAGTTGCTGTTTTGAGCAAAGTTGTGCAGGTGAGCAAGTCCTTTCGGATGATGTTCATATTAGTTCAGAACACGCTCACTACGCGACGCTAGTGTGCAAGTGAATTTCCTGTATAAGCTGTATCTCGAGAACCTGGCCATATAGACGGTTACTGTCTTCAGCAAAGTTGTTCAGATGACTAAGTCCTTTCGGGTGATCGTCATATTATTTCAGAACTCTCACACTACGCGGCGCTAGTGTACACATGAACTTCCTTAATATGTTATGTCTCCAAAGCTTGTCCATATAAGATGTTGCTGTGCAATGTGAGAACAGGAGCCGGAAAAGAGATGACAAGTAGAGGCCGGAAATCGATGTCAGATGCCATTTTGGAATCCAAGATGGTGACCATCGGGTCAAGAAAAACTGTCAAATACCCTACAATATGGGTATTTCCGGATAAGGAACGACGTGTAGAGACCGAAAATCGATGTCAGACGCCATTTTGGAATCCAAGATGGTTGCCATCGGTTCAAGAAAAACTGTCAAATACTCTACAATATGAGTATTTCCGGAAAGGAAACGACGTGTAGAGGCCGGAAATCGATGCAAGATGTCATTTTGGAATCCAATATGGCGGCCATCAGTTTAAGAAAAACTGTCAAATACACTACAATGTGGGAATTTCCGAAAATGGACGACGTGTAGAGGCCAGATATAGATTCCAGACGCTATTTTGGAATCTAATATGGCGGCAACATGTTTTCCATGGTCACCATAGCCGATCGAACTCTAGACGAAACTAGAACCGCACTATCGTTCATACTGGTGACAACGCTCTGAGGAGACAACGAAACCTTACCCCCAAGCTCCTCCCCTGATCCTATCCTTCGACAATGTACCTCTCTTACCTCGAGTAAGCCGAGAGTAGTCGGCCCAAATCCTACTAGACATAGAATTAAGTGAATGTTGTTACAAACAAAGAACAATGAACTATCGGCTCCGTAAAGCTAACGTGATTGAGCCTTCCAAATAAACGAACTAGTTAAAAAAAACATGTTTTCCATGTATAAGGCTTACCAAGAATATTGCGTATAATTTATTGTGTATAGCGTATCACTGACCAAGATCGCAACATAACGTGGAAAATTCCTCAAAACAATAAAACGCTTCTAATTGTTTTGTTTTATTTTTTTCTATCATAAACTACAGATTTATTCCTGGACCCCTCTAAAGTGAATATGGTTGATATTTTCATCCACCACCTGGTGCGGCAGAAATCGAGTTAAAACTAAATCAACTCTCCGAGGTCGAAAGTTTCTGCACATTGGACAGCAATGTTGAACGGAGTGCAAAAATGCAAGATTTGCTAAGGGAAGTCGAGACCCATCTCACGGTGTGGAAGAACGAGAGTGACTAGAATTCATAAAACATGACAGCGCTGGTTGGTTCTTTGTTATCGAAAGAGAAAATAAAATGTGGAATAAATCTGTAGCTTACGATAGAAAAAAAACAAAACAAATCAAAGCATTTTATTGTTTTGAGGAATTTTCCACGTTACGTTGCGATCTTGCTCAATGATACGCTATACACAATAAATTATACGCAATATGCTTGGTAAGCCTTATTTATGGAAAACATGTTGCCGCCATATTGGATTCCAAAATAGCGGCTGGAATGTATATCTGACCTTTACACGTCGTCCCTTTTCGGAAATTCCTACATTGTAGGATATTTGACAGTTTTTCTTAAAACCGATGGCCGCCATCTTGGTTTTTAAAATGGCCTCTGGCATCGGTTACCAACCTCTACACGTCCGGAAATACCCATATTGTAAGGTATTTGACAGTTTTTATTGAACCAATGGCCGTCATCTTGAATTTCAAAATGGCATCTGGCATCGATTTTCGGCCTCTACACGTCGTTTTCTTTCCGGAAATACTCATATTGTAGAGTATTTGACAATTTTTCTTGACCCGATGGCCGCCATCTTGGATTACAAAAGGGCATCTGAAATC